GAAACATGGTTTTAACAGGATTGGCAACTAATCAACTTATCTCCGGTTTATTCACAGGAGTTTGAATAAAGAAAACCATGACGATGCAAGCCCAACTGCACTGCTTGTGTCTCTTTACACTTTACTTGGTAAGAGAAGAGAATGTTCTTTATTTATTTAGTAGAATATTCCCAGTCATCCTTCTACCCCGTACCAGGGAAGCAACGGCTATCATCATTTAAAAAATAGTCTATCAAAATTAACTCATTGTGAGCAAAGGACACTTTACCCCGATGGACTCTTTTTGCTGAAATAGCTACAAGTCATATGTCCAACCTTTAACCAGAGATGTACTTTCTCCTCAGCTCTTAAAAACCAATGCCACTTCACAGGCAAGGTTTAAGCAAATCCATCTACTTAGCTTTAGACCATTGCATACAGCTCAGGGAATCTGGAAAGAAAAGTATACTGATACATGTGTTAGTCTATGTCCCTTAATCTTGACTTTTTTTTTTTTAACTTTGACCATGAGAAATTACCACCGAAATTAAGAAAAGCATTTTCTCCATTTTTGGCCCTGCTCTGCTCTGTACTTTTCTTCCCGTATATGGCTTGGAGTTTTCTGACCAAATTTGTACTTAGTCACTTGTTGAGCTAACCCTGTCGACTCAGGCTTCTAGAAGTTGGAGCTGGATGGAACCTGGGGAGGCCAGACCTTAACCTCGGGTAGAGACAGGGATGCTGTCTTCACTTTCCTTATGAAGCTCATAAAGGTTATACACTTGCCAAATCTGTTGTATTATGAAGCAAGATTATGGGGAAGCATTTGCTTTCTCCTTAGAAGGAAGCCACTAGATCCTCATACCTCTAATCTTGGTTCCTTTCTTCTAAAACCCAAATATACCATATTGAATTTCAAGTTCCAGAGAGCCCCTGAGAGCCCACACAGTTCAAAATATTTAGAGTGAAATACAGCCAAACTTGTAAACCTACCAGAGCTCTCCCCTTGGGGGGAAAATCTGCAGTTCAAACCTTACGAGCAAGGTGCATCCTCACAGACCAGGGCTTGAAGCGTGTAGCTAAGACTGCCTAAGGACTGAGTCTAACATCCCCACTTGACTTCTCTCCTCTTCCTCCCCTCTCAGATGTCCTTTGCTATCTGTATTATCTCAGAATGGTGGTGAAGTCGGTGCCTAGTTCAAACTTGGCACTGCTATTGATTGGTGATAAGAACTTGGGTGAGTTACTAAGCTCTGAACCTCAGTTTTCTGCCCTGTGAAATGGGTCTAATAATAGTACTTGCCTTATGTGGCAATTAAATGAGATAATGCATTTATCAAGCCCTTGAATCAATGACTCGCACAGTCTAAGGACTTGATAAATATTAGCTATTATTATTACTACCATGTTTTAAATATTCAGCATCTACACTCAGATGGACTCTGACCTCCATGAGGAGAACTGTGTTTTAGTCATCTTTGCAGCCTCAGCACATAGCACAGTGCCCAGAACAAGTTAGAACTTAAATACATAATTACGGATTTATATTAGGAAACATTAGGAGACAACAGTGAGACCTAAGAGACAGAGAAGATTCTGTCATGATACTTTGACATTAGCAGGCTCATCAGCTTCTTGTCTGAGAAGGGGACATGAATTTTTCTTCCTAGATAAAGGATGAAAGTAAGTTTTCCTTTTTCCCTACTCTCACACCAGTGGGATTTTTACCTGGAGTAAGAAATACTGCCCAAACTACTGCTGGCAGCAAGAGCCTTGCCCAGGAGACAGCCATGTGAACAGCTGTCTCTGGATGAAGGAGGGAGGCTGAGGCCTGTGTGCTGGGATTTCAGGGGCATTGGGACGGAGCCGTTTCTCTTCTGCCTTCACCGACCCCTATGCCTAGACCCTCTCCTGTGAAGGCTGCAAGTTCAGTTGGAGCTTCTTTCTTTCAGCATAAGGCTTTATTCAGCAGAGGTAGCCATTTAAAGTGATTGCCAGTCATTTATTCTATACTATGAGTGGCTCTCCCGTTCTTTCCTGAGAACTGGTTCTCATAGGGGGTTAGAAACACTGCACGAATATATTGTAAGGGCACTGATGAGAGGGTTTGGGAAAGAG